CATTTATTGGATAAAAAAAATGTGAACAGTATGTTTTTAACAGTTGATTACCCTGAACTTTAAGTATAATTCAACTGAAAAACCCCCAAAAATAAAAACTATTAAAAAAAGAAATTAAAAAAAGTAATAATAATAATAAAAAAATAATCGTTTTATTTCGATGACGTTGTTTTCGTAATCGTTGCAAGCCATAATCGTAATCGCGATTTAAATACGATTAATTGAGCAGCCCTAATAGCAACGTTTCTGATTGGCCCACGGGTGTAAAGCCCGCCCACATTTCAGATATTACGTCATATCGGACACAAATCTGGATCAGCTCCATTGTTCCCCCGTTTCTAGAGATTTGGGTACGGAGGAAAAGAGAGAGGGTTTTATTTTCTGACGCTGCGTGAGTTCCCCGAAACACCGGGGACACATGTTTATGTATAAAAGACATACAAAAGTGTATTTTGCATGATAGGAGACCTTTGAAGTGTAGTGTTAGCAGCAGGTGTATCACAGCTTGATGTTTCTCACCTTGAGTTTGCGGTACTTCTGTCGGGCCAGGTGAGCCATGCAGGCGGCCTGCAGGTGGAGCAGCCAGCCGCTCACCTGCTGGTCCCTCTGGAGCTCCAGGTACCGCAACACACCGCGCTTCATAAACACCTGGAGGAGAGGAAGAGGAGGATGAAGAGGAAGAGGAGGAAGGAGAAGGGCTTTTAATGTGATGTATATTGACCCACTGATTCCACTCAGCCCTTCAAAATAAAGGCCCCACACACAGTATCCTTAATTGAAGCTTGGGAAAAATGATGTTTTTCAGAATAAAAGCCCCACAAAGTAAATGTATCCTTAATTGAAGCTCAGGAAGACGCATGATTTCAAAGTAAAAGCCCCATAGAGTGGCTGAATCCTACCATGTAGCTAAGGATGACAAATGTTTTTTCAAAATAAAAGAATGTTAGAGGACCTGTATCCTAACAGGAAGCACAGGATGAGACGTGTCTTACCAAAATAAAAGCCCAGAGAGTAACTGTTTCTTTTATTGAATCTCAGGATGTCGCTTTTTTTTCAAAATAAAAGACCACTATATAAACTTTGTCCTAACACAAGGTTTCAAAAGAGGAATATTTTCACAATAAAAGACCAATAAAGTAACAGTAATCTTAATTGAAGCAAGAGAAAAATTATGTTTTTCAAAATAAAAGCCCCACAGAGTAACTGTATCCTATAATGAATCTTAGTAAGGGCATATTTTCTAAAATAAAAGACATATAATTTAAGTGTATCCTTAATTGAAGCTCATGAGGCATCTTTTCAAAAATAAAATACCAACAGAGTAACGGTATCCTGACAGGACGCTCAGGAGGATGCATGCTTTTCAGAATAAAAGCCCTCACCCTGCTGGAGCCCATCACGATGCTCTTCTTGTCCAGATCCAGCTCACAGAGCAGCTCCTCCACCGCCTTAAAGAGAAAGAGGAGGTCATTATTATATATCCTCTTATTATTTATTCTACACTGTGTGTGTGAACGTCTGTGACTCTGACCTTCCTCTCGTCGTGGTTCACGAACATGGAGGCGTAGCGTTTCATTATCGGAGGCGACAGAGCCTGGAAGTGACACCTGAAGTCGCTCAGAGTCATGTGCTCCGGGTAGCCTGAGAGAAAGTTAATTGTAGAGTATTTCAAAAGACTAACACTGTTAAATGCATATAAGGAACCTTGGAAATAACGCCGCTTTTAACAACCAACACTCAGGATTCCCACATATCTGAGTCTGAAGTCACAACAAAACACTTTTAAATCAAAGAGACTCAAAAAGGGAGAGTGAAGATTAAACACAGGACAAGACTTATTGGGTAAAGTTGATACGTGACACTATCAAGGTGAGAAATGATCGTACCCTGCAGAAACGTTGCTATAGTCACAGTGTGTGTGTGTCTGTGTGTGTGTGTGTGTGTGTGTGTGTGTGTGTGTGTGTGTGTGTGTGTGTGTGTGTGGCCTAGCATTACTATACTTGTGGGGACCTAAATCTATTTACAGTCACGTGTGGGGACTCGCCTCCCTTATGGGGGCAAAATGGAGGTCCCCATAAGGGGAATCATTAATTTTAGGGTGAAGACTTGGTTAGGGTTAGGGTTAGGCATGTGTTGGTTATGGCTAAGGTTAGGATAAGTCTCCAGGAAATGCATGTAAGTCAATGTAATGTCCCCTGAAGTGATGTATAAATGGTGTGTGTGGGTGTGGGTGTGGGTGTGCGTGTGCGTGTGCGTGTGTGTGTGTATAGACCTGTGCGGTGTAGCTGCAGCGCGGACAGGATCTGGGTGGAGTTCAGCTGGACTCGGAGAGAAGGAACATCAAAAGCTCCAGCTTCTACTTTAGCACCGACGCACTGAAGGAAGACGGGGCGCGCTCTGCGGATCAGATTCACCAGAGCGTCCTGCAGGGACAGGTCACACAGCATGAGGGGGGAAAGACCCTCCAGGGGGTCACAGGTCACACAGCATGAGGGGGGAA